TATGTAGAATGCATGTATGTAGTGAAATTTGGTTGTGTCTATTACCAGAAAACTTGGAACATATAGTTGCTGATGTTCTTCTCAAATTTTTTACAGAGTCAGAGTAATCCTGTGAAATGTTACTTCATAAAAATGTTTGATTTTCTTTGGCATTTTAACATAGAGGATTTTTTGATGCTTTTCCACTTCAGCAGGATTAAGGAACATAGTAGCTTTCACCTCACTTTTGAAGCTTAAAACCTTTCACAGATGAATGACTTCTCAGTGAAACCTCAAATGTCTACCTTACTTGATACTTCCTTTATTAATTTCACATGTAATATACTTATTATTGAATTACTCCATTTGTTTTTCCATAAGCTAAGAATGATTAATGTTAATGTTAAAAATTCATCTTTGCTACTTATGCTTTATGATTTCAAATCTTGTTGATGAAACAAGTTCAGCTATTAAAAGGTGACTATCATTGTCAATTAGAACTCTTTGGTAGTTTCGTGATGAAATGACAATCAACTCACACTGTTTCAAGATTTGTAGTTTCTCCCTCAGTGTAATTCTTCCTACAACTTCACCTCTGAACACTCTCCATTGCATTCTCTGGGTGCCAATACAGCTCTTCTTGGCTCACTCTCAGATGTTCACACCCTTCCTCTTTGGGAAATTTCTCCTTGAACCTCACGTTACTATTCTCTTCTCTTTAGTCACTTTATTGGAATTAAACATCTTAAGAATATATTCTTTGAACACCTCACTTTATTGGAATTAAACATCTTAAGAATATATTCTTTGAACACTCTGTGTTCTTGCCTGCCAATGATATCACATCCTAATTTTGTTATTTTATATAACTCTCTAAGCTAACTGGTTTATTCCTTAATTTTTTTGTTTTCTTTGGGTTCCTTTGGATGTTAGCTCCTCCTAGGAGGGAGCAGACATATCTTGTTGAGTTCCTTATCTGTGTTTCTGTGACAGATCTGGTACACAGCATACTCATAACCAACACATTTTATTTTAGTGAACTAAGTGAAGGCCAATTTTCCTGACTTATTGAAGCAATGCTTGACATAAATCTACTTGTACTTTGCCAAGCTGGTGAGTGGATGTCCTGTGAAAAATCTTTACTCTTCTTTGCAGTGAGCAAGGCCAGCAAGATCAATAGGTTCTACATTCCCTGACAATGAAATTTTCCTTGGAAAAATCTGGAAACATTTATTCATTTTATTAGAAGGGCTCAAAGTCTGATGAATAGTATATTTTTAATTATTGCTTTTTAATGTGCCAAAAATCACTCAATATGTGCTCCCTATATGCTCACTATGCGCTCCCTACATGAGTCTAATTTGAAATTACATAAATTTGCTTGCCTACATTGTTATAAACTTACTTGCAAATGCAGCAACCCATGAGTTCTAGGGGTCTGTAGTGTTTTTATTGAAAAATTGTTATAGATTTTGTTCAAGATCATGAGGAATAAGTCCCCCAAAAAATCGGCAAGAGAAAACCATATGAACCAAGTTGACATTACACACCCAGCACCTTTTTCTCATTCACCTCTAAAACAAACTTTTGTTTGCATGGGCAGTCCTCCAGGAAGTTCTCATATTAGCTCCAGTTTGCAAATAAGGAATAGAGACAAAGAGAACAGAAGCTATGCAATGGGAATTTGAATCCAGGTAACCTGACAGACAACTTGTGTCCTTCTAAAAGGGAAAAGGAGGCAATATTTGTCACCTGCAGCAGAAGAGGCCAGTGGATACTGCTCTGCATACCTTTTACATCACAGCCTGCCAGGCTCTTGCCCTGGGAAATAGGATCGCCAACTCAGCTAAAATCCAACCCACGTTATTTTTAGTCTTTCCTTTTAGTCTTTCTGTAAGCCTATTTATTTTTAATTTGCAGTTTTAATTATAAAACTATTTACACACTATACAACTTTATAAAAATACACAGATCAAACCCACAAAATCCCCTTTAATCGTCCCATGCCACATGATTGTTGTTTTTCCTTTAGTGTCTCATAATGTTTTCTCTTCATAGTTATCTGCATTGTGCTGACATCTCATGTCCACTTCCTTGGGTCTTATAGAAGTATATAGTGAGACTGGATTACATTTACAAGAGACTTAGTTGTCAGTTGGACAGAAAGGGGGAGTATCTGAGATCTACATTATATCTTGAATCCTTAACTTTCCATGTATCTGTATTTACACGAAGGGACTTTGAAGAGATGGTCAAGAGTCAAAGGAAGACATAAATATGGGGTACAACACGACAGGACTGGTGTTCCTGTGAGGAGAGGAAGAGACACGAAGACATTCTCTCTCTTTTTGCATGTCTTCGTGTCTTTTCTTCTCCTTACAGGAACACCAGTACGGACACAAGGTGCCAAGTAAAACGCAGTAAGAAAATGCTAACTAGAAACAAACTCTGCAAAGCACTTTGAACCTTGCCATTCTAATCCTCAGAATGGTAAGCCAATGATTAGCTGTTGCTTAAGCTGCCCAATGTGGTATCATTTTATGGTTGCCCAATAGACAAAAAGTGGGAGCCAGTTGCCAACAGGTTGACAACCAAAGGCACTGCTAGAGGTGTCTACTGATTATGCTACCTGAAGAAGAGAGGCAAGGGAAACACATATTTTAAAGGCTGACGCATCATCTCACTACTCATTAGGCAGGGAATTTTGGAAAGGAATTTGTTGAAACAGAGGAAAGCACTATAAAATTCTAATAGAATGCATTTTCTATTCAAATTCTTAATTAACAACTAGATATTTAAATTAAGTAGGCTAGCAACATGGATAGCCAATGTACCTTTGTTCTTAGAGCTTCCAGTATGTAGAAATTCAATACAGAAATTTTGCAAGAAGATAGTCACACTCAATTCCAACGGTATTTGAAATGTCTCTGGTAAAAATAATAAGTTGAGAAATTTTGAATATGGTCTTATAGTATATTCCTTAATTCTTTAGCACAAGTAATATGGATAGGATGCTTATAAAATTTCAAAATAAGGATAATTTTATACTTTTTCAAAGTAGACAGTTCCAAGTCCTATTTTATTGTGTACCTATTATATTTGTATCTACCAGATCTCCAGGTTCCTGTCCTGCTTGAGTTTTTGTTCTGACTTTCTTTAGCGATGAACAGTGTTGTGGAAGTGTAATCAGAATAAAGCCTTTCCTCTTCAACTTGGTCTTTGGCCAAGGTGTTTCATTACAGTAATAGAAACCCTAAGACATTTACCTACCTATATTATATTTTTATAATGTGTTCTATGTTCTAGTATGGAAAGGCACATAAAACAATAAGAGTATGATGGAATTGGGTGGAGGATACCAGGATTACAAGGTCCTCTGAATCCAGTATGCACAGTTATTATAACTATTACCTTAATATCTTTATGAGACTCCTAACTGTGATAACAGGTGGGTCTCTGTCTTTTGAACCTGCTCTTGGGACTCATTTCCTTCTGTCGGGTTTTCCTATCCACCTTCAATATGATAGATTTTGCTTCATCTTATTATATTTTATTTTGTCATGTTTGGATGCTGTCTTAAAGGTCCATTCTTTTCTAATCAGAGACAGCAAAGGAGGGAAAGGGGGACGGGAGGGGAGGAGCAGAAGGTGTAGAAGGAGGGGAAATTATAATCAGCATATTTTGTATTAGAAAAGAATCTATTTTCAATGAAATGAAAAAGGGGGGAGAAAGACATCTATATAATATGAAATTAAAATCAAACTTTTCAATAAAACAATATAACTGTGATGAAATTATCTTTAATACTTACCCAAGACATTTTAGTGTTTCAAGGTATTAGTATTCTTTTTACACTGACAAAGTTTTTTGGTGTGGGAAACCACTGAGTAGCATGTCTCTGAGTCTTCATGTATCTCTCTTTCTGTGTGTGTCTATGTGTACACTGTTGAATATAATCATTATGTTTCTTGCTATCGAATTCAGTTTTTAAACTACACCCACGCTAAAGTTTCTTCTGTATTAAACTGCTAATCCTCATGAAGAAATGCCTTTTCCCTCCATAAAGAGATTGAATATAGTCATATTGAAGTTGATTCTCAAGCCTCCTCAGCTACATTCAAAAAACATATGCGCATATAAGCAAGCATCATTTTTTTCTGTTGTCAAGCTCAAGGACAACAGCACTGGATGATTTCTATGTCTTATGATATTAAATGCATACATTCTTCTGTTGCAGCTGCCTAGCAACATGTTGTATTCAAAAGTTTCTCCAGAAGTCAAAGTGGAATTGAACTAAACAGAAAAAAATTTTACCTTATGAAGTCAGGATACACTAAACTTTAAAAATACACTGTGCCAAACTTCTGTTAAGATACTCTCATATTAAAAACCTGTGAAATACAGAGGAATGGGGGAAGTGATGACATATAGGTAAATAGGTGAAAACAAAACTGCTTTATTAGTATACATGTACTTTTAAAAAGATTGTGCAATTATATAAGGCAATTGCTTTGAGTACTTACTACAATAAAGTGAGATAACTTAGTGATTGCATAACAATATATCCACATTAAAAATACACTGTGGGATATTGGAAAGTCTGCTTTTAATAGATTTAAAATGTCTACCTCATAATTAGTTATATATGTTAAAATATTTAAAAATTGCTCCATCTCTTCTCAAGTGACATAATATAAGGACTCTGAACAGTTTATGGCATAAGATTCACGACCCCATGACAATGAACTCAGAAGCACAGTGAGATGTTTATTATCTTTATTTATTATATACTTTAACTTCTATTTTGAATATTATATCAGGGTAAACATTTTATGAATTTATATAATCTTGTTTACATCATGATACTTCCTGATTGAGAAAATATTTGGCCAGAAACAAAGAAACACTCAGTTTAGGGAAGGTATGAACAGGGCATGTGCTACTCAATACTGTGATGTTTTATCTTTTTCAATCATCATAAATGAATGCATTGCTTATTGTTTATTGCCTTTTGCTACAGGTCTTATCAAATTGCTATTTTATTCTTATTTCCTAAACACTATCACTATTGACTCACATTTTGTAAATTTTCACTCTTAACTGGTACTAACATTACTGTTGTAAAGCAATGCCTGAGTGTGACTCTAACATAGAAAACTGCATAATTATGTAGTTAAAGTTAAAATGAGGTTTATTTGACTTGAATAGACAGTGATCCACATCTTAATGACACAAAAAAACCACAAAGCACTTCAACATCAAGCATTATTGCCTGAGCATTACACTTGTGCATCATATGACAACTTACTGTTTTCCTAAATAATTAATCCAAATATTAGTCCAATAAATTCTACAGACAAAATAATCTCAATGACAAACTTGTCTGCATTATTGTAAAGAGCTAGACATTTTCAGAATATTCCGTGACTCTTTTGACTTCATCTACTTCAAGCCCAAATTTCCTACTTCACTACCCTTGGAAGAGTATTCCAAGATAAACTCTTATTTTGTCTTCTATTGTAAGTTTTGCATGGAAAAAGTTCTTATGTGTCTGTGCCATAGCTGAGTTCAATATTCCAGGCTAGAAGTTCACAATGTGTCTTGAATTGGGTGGTGTTATAGACCCAACTCCTCACAGTGATTGCTGCAAAGATTGCCAGGCTCACCCTATGGTCAGGTAGCCTCTGAAGAAATAGATGGTCAGAGTGTTCACAGACAAATAATTCAAGTCTTTTTCCTGTGATCACAAAGGACTCTGTTTACAACCAATAATATGAAATTTAGGTCTTCTGTAGCTGGAGAGTTTCTCTCCAGCTCCCGCCAAGCCTTGGCAGTCCTGCAGCCCATTTATAAAATAAACTCATAGACTCTTATATTATTTAAACTGTTTGGCCTAATGGCTCAGGCTTCTAGCTATCTAGTTCTTATATCTTAAATCAACCCATTTCTATTAATCTATAAGTGGTCACATGGCTTGTGGCTTACCAGTATCTTTTACATGTTGCTTGTCATGGCAACAGCTGGCAGTGTCTCTCTGCCTCGCCTTCCACTTCCCAGAATTCTCCTCTCTCCTTGTCCCACCTATATTTCCTGCCTGGCTACTGGCCAATCAGTGTGTTATTTATTAACCAATCAGAACAACACATTTAGCATACAGAATATCCTACAGCAATCTTCTTTGGGTTAAATACTAAGAACAGTTTTGTTCACTAGTTTTCTAGTGAAAACTACATTTATTATGGAACAATAAAAAGTAAAGTCTAAGTGATACTTTCCATTTATTTATTTTTCCAGAAATGTCTGTAAAATGCAGTTTTCAGAGCAAGTTCTTTGACCCAGAACATATGAATGACTTCTTGATTAGAAAGATGCAAGACTTATAACTGAAACTAGTTAAAAAGTTTTATGCACCAGCACACTAACACAGATAAGGCATAGCTGAAATTTTAATTAGTAGTAATCAAATTATAATTGAGATTTGCTTATTATTTCATATGCAACCCTCTACTTTATCTGAACATATACACATCCACACATTTACACAATCATTCAAAAAGCATTAAAAATAATTGTTTTGTAATGTTATGGACTTGTCTTTGAAAAAGTCAGATGCACTGCTGTGGACCTTGCATGCTCCCACTGTAGGGATAGCTCCATATTTAAAAATTGCTTTACAATGTTGCTTAGCAACAATCTGGTCATTTAATTCAAAAGCTATTTCTAAACTTTTTTTTTCTAAAAGAAAGAAGAAAGCTGTGGAAAAGAAATCAAATACTCTGATTTTCATTTTTCACTGAAAATGCAGCAGTTGTGTGATTTGTGTGAAGGTACCAGTTTTAACATCTTGGAAATCACATTGTTCCTTGTGATGTTTAAGTCCTTTCATTGAAGGCATTAATAACAATGAAGTCAATTGTTCTTTGACCTGCTTATTTAGTTGTTTAAGAGAATATTCAACTTATGAAAACCTTCAGTACCTGTGGGAGCTAATCTTTTAAGAAAAGCCTGATTAAAATGCAGTCTTTGGTTCTTATAATGACTTAAGAAGAGAAGATTAAGGGCTTAATATTTAGGTTGCACAAACAAATACAGTAAGCACAGTGCCTATACATCTTTCATATGCACTGAATACGTTCTGTTTGGTGTCAGATTTTTGTATATAATTGATAAATTGCATTGTTGTGTGTGGTGGTAAAACATGATATACATCTTATTTATCTTTGAGTTTCTTATATCTAGGATATAAGAATTCTATATAACAGGAAATTCATAAATATTTGCAAGTTAAATATATTAATAATTGTAATAATCATAATATCTGGAGTAGTTATGTTATAATATATTTTTTCAAGTATTGTTTTTTAATTGTAAAGAAAATTACTATTAATTGTTTCTCCAGGACAGGGTAGAAGTCTTAAATTACAGCACCATTAAGCAGGAACTGAAATGAGTTGTAAAATATTATTATTTTTATGCAGTGATAAGTAAATTAAATGTTTATATTCTAAAGAATTGATTGGGCTAAGAGTTGTTTTTCAGAAATGTAGATTTCAGGGCACATCAGGAACAGATAGTTGTACCTAAAGTGGCAATGTCTCTGTGTTATATCTGTTCTCTGGTAAGTTTTCCCTTTCAGAAATCTCTTCTCTGTTATTTGTGGAGGCCCACAATGGTTTCCTAGTGAGATGAGCTTGCTTTACCCAGCAGAGCTGCATTAGAGGACTGCTTGACCATGGGCATGGTTACTGAAAGGATAATAATCAGAACAGTTACTGTGTGATTGGAAGGGTCTACACTTGGTTGAGCTGGGGGAGGTCTTTTGCTCCACTCCTTGGCATTCCTATAAATAGCCCTTTAGTAGAGGTGGGCAGGGCCAGTGGATAAGGATCCAGGCCCTCACAAGGCTATCCTGTATTTCTATCTGTTTTTCTCCCCTCTATCCTTCTATCTAATATCTCTTATCCTTCTCTCTTCAAGAGTAGCATGTTGTAAAATGTAGGAGCTGGCCTCCCAGCTGGGCTTTCACAGTTCTTCCCAGTTCAATGGTGAAAGATGGGATACCTGTGCCATGAATACAGGGATGGGAAGCTAATCAACTCTTCTTTTTGACAATGGACTTCCTTCCTTCATATAAGGTCATCAGTTTAGTAACATATGACTCAATGAATGATACAAATGCTAGCCATAGGTCTTCTTTTTGAAGTTGGTGAAAAAGGTGTTCTTTGTGTTGGCATTACTGGACTTTTAGACTTAAATCTAGAATTGCTGTGGCCATTAATTTTTAATCAATATCTTTCTGAGAATGTAGCTAATTTAAAAGAAACAATGTCAGCTGAACACCCCAGAATAAGTACTCTAAGCAACATCCACCAGTAGATGCATCTTATTGGGTGAAAGGTTGAGGAGAAAGATGGATATTGGTGCAGCCTCAGAGTGTCAAGAAGAAAATGCTAAATTTTCAATGTAGAAACTGGTAGGGGAACCATAATCTATTTGTTATTGTCAGGAATATCGAATATATGATATTCATATTTCATCCTTATTTTTATGAACTTATGGGGGAAAGTTATAACTGCTGTTTATTACTGTCAAAAGTACATGATTACAAGATCAAAATAAAAAAAATCATCACATAAACTTAAATCAAGACACGTCTCTGAAATGACTAATAGTTTTAGCCATCAGTGGTGCCAAACTTTAAGATACAAAGCTCCTGGACTTTCCTCAAATAGAAAGAGACAAATAGAGAACAATTAAATTAACTAAAAGCAATGCAGCCCCTTCCAGTCTTTGGGGATGGGCAAAGTGTTAAGGGAGTAAAAGATAATACAATTCAAGCATGGTTTAATTAATAATACTAAATCAGTGTTATATAATTGACTTGGAATATTGCACTATGGCACTATATATTTTTAACATTACAAAAAACAAAGGATGCATGTATGAAACATCTGTAATATTGTCCCATTGTTTTTGGTACTCTAAAATTATTTCAAAGTAAAAAGCTAAAAAGGAAAGCAAAAATAGAAATAGATATTGAATGTTCTTTATGCTTTACTTCTGCCACATAAAATATCCAATGACAAGATTTTCAGGCACATAGATGGAGGATTCTTTAGTTATTTTAGTTAGATTCCCCCACTTCCAAGGAAGAGACACATGACATATATCTACAGGTACTTTTCCAATTGAGCTCCTTGTGGTCTGCCTAGAGAACATCTTATGACCAATGAGATATCTCTCATAAACAAATACAATGGATAAATTTTATAACAAGGCAATTCTATTCTTTTTAGCAAATTTGTATGAGTACCTTTTGTGCTGGATAGTTTTATGTCACCTTGACACAAGCTAAATTCATGTTAGAAGAGGGACTCTCACAGAATAAAAT